ACTATCTCCATTTACTCTCTATAGACTATCTCCATTTACTCTCTATAGACTATCTCCATTTACTCTCTATAGACTATCCGCATTTACTCTCTCTATAAATTATCTCGCTTTGCTCGATAGTCTACATCTACTCTACATTCTATAGACTATCGAGCAAAGCGAGATAGTCTATAGTCTATATCCATTTATTTAGCTCTAGCCAATGAGTATTTAGCCAATTCCAAAACGGCTTCTTTGCTATTTGCGCCTCCAATGAAACCTGCAGCGTGAACAAAGATACACCCTTCAATTCCAGCTTTTTCACTCAATTCTTCGTCTCTTAATCCTCTCAACTCCTCAGGTATACCTAATCTGAATTCAAATGAACTTGAGGTGACATTAACGGTGGATACTCTCCACTTGCTACTTGAATCTTGGAATAGCACAAACTTGATAACTCCTTCACTATTATTTTCTTTTTCAATTGCATACAAGTGCTCTTTCCAAGGACAAAATTGAGACAAGATTATAATTTCTCCTGATAAATCAGCTTCAAATCTCTTTTGAAATGCCTCTTCGACAAGAGACTTGGCCGGTAACCATCCTTTACCGTATCCTTCCAATAAACCAACAAATACTGACCCCATCAAATCACTAGCTTTCAAGAATTGTCTATCGAAATCGGCATCGGTGCAACTTTCATTCCACCTTGGATTCAATTGCGACACAAGTGATGGTAATTTGATATTCTTTTCATTGAACTTGGATTCGATATCTACTGGATAATTGTTTATTCCGTTATCATTAGCATCTAAACTTTCAATAAATTCCTTATAGACTTTATCGTATAATAACTCAATATTTCCATCATTTTCTTCTAAACTCAACACTTGTCTAATAATATCTTTACCGAAATGTTTATAGATCAAACCAGCTGATGAGAGTTTAGTCTTGTAATTCTCATTGAAAGTAGCGAAAAACTCACGCTGGTGATGGTCAAAATACTTTACAGAATCATATTTTCCACCAACATCAACTACAATATCGCATTCTTCCCAATCCTGGGGGTTTCTTGAACGAACAATTTCGGCATTTCTATATTGAGGAAGAAGCTTTAATAAATAAACAGCTAGAGATTCATCTGCATGAAACAGACCTGAATGTGTACAGATTTTTACCATTCTATCAAGTTTAAGTCTTTTTACCATTCTAGAGCTCATCGCATAACTTGAAAAAAAAGAATGTGGAAAAAAAGATTTATTAAAGTGATTTTTTTGATTGAATTTGGTATAAAGGTTTGGAAATGAACAAGTCAATTTGTCAATGTGGCTGTCTTGTTAGAAGTGGCTATCTTGTTAGAAGTGGCTGTTTTGTCAAATGAGGCTGTCTTGTTAGAAGAGGCTATCTTGTTAGAAGAGGCTATCTTGTTAGAAGAGGCTATCTTGTTCTTTGACAAGCAATAGGGAAATTACACTATATTGTATTTATCAATTCTTAGAGAGACTATTCATTTAGAGGATGGGGTTAATGTCATCTCCAGGGGTAAGGATTCATGTCTATTTGAACATGGGCCATTTATTTATTTTTTTTTTTTTGATTTTGTTTGATTAACTTATTCAATAAACAAACGCTAGTGTCAGTCAGTACTGCTCTGCTCGCTAGAGTCGCTAGTGTCAGTCAGTACTGCTCTGCTCGCTAGAGTCGCTAGAGTCAGTCAGTACTGCTCTGCCCGCTAGTGTTGTCGCTCGCTAGAGTCGCTAGAGTCAGTCAGTACTGCTCTGCCACTAGCTCGCTCTGCTCGCTAGTGTTGTCGCTCGCTAGAGTCGCTAGAGTCAGTCAGTACTGCTCTGCCACTAGCTCGCTCTGCTCGCTAGTGTTGTCGCTCGCTAGAGTCGCTAGAGTCAGTCAGTACTGCTCTGCCACTAGCTCGCTCTGCTCGCTAGTGTTGTCGCTCGCTAGAGTCGCTAGAGTCAGTCAGTACTTCTCTGCTCCACTAGCTCGCTCTGCTCGCTAGTGTTGTCGCTCGCTAGTGTCTAGTGTCGACACATGGGGGTTTTTCATAACCAATGTTTTAGTCTGCATCTTTTACGATATTTTTTTTCCCCCTTCTCTATTACCCCAACACTTATATCTACGTCATATCTTATTTCTCATTCTCATTAGCTACTCTATATCCTCAACCTTTATATTCCCATCCTTTTTCTCATCCTTGTCCTTTATATCCACCATCTATATCCATCTCCACCCTCTATATCCATCTCCACCCTCTATATCCATCTCCACCCTCTATATCCATCTCCACCCTCTATATCCATCTCCACCCTCTATATCATCCATTATATGCCCCCTCTATAATGCCCCATCTACAATGCCCCCCTCTATATTTACCCTCTATATTTACCTTCTATATTTACCTTCTATATTTACCTTCTATATTTACCCTCTCTATCTACCCTCTCTATTTACCCTTTCTATTTACCCTCTCTATCTACCCTCTCTATCTAGCATTTTCCACTATTAGTTCACTAGCCTCGTCTTCGGCTTCGCTAGTATTACTTTAGACTTTGCTATTGTTGGCTTCGCTAGTGTTTGCTTCGGCGGTTAACAAACTCCGAGAATGAAAATTATTCGCCGGAAAAATTAATCCAAAACCCTGGAAAAACAATTTTTCAATTTTCCTTCTATATAGTTCAACATTCTGTTGGCTTTTCCCTAGTCACGTCTTTTTGCCGTATCTTGCAGTTTTTGCTTTGTTACCCTTACCAAGTCTTTCTTGTTACTACTAACGACAATTTCTTTCAAGTGAGGAAGAACTTTGAGACTTATCTCACCAAAAGACGGCTCTTGAGGGTATTTCTTTAAGGGTGCCTTCTTTTTTTTTTGTATTTTTCAGTTTCTTATATGGACATTTTATTCAGTCAATTAAAGAATTTGCTATTAAACAAAGATATAAACACACCGGCTCAACATCCTTCCAAGCTACAGCCTTTGCAATCAGATCCGATTATATCCAACTTGATTTTTAGATTCTGGTCTCGAAAATCTCAACAACAAAAGTATCTTATCCTATTACAATTAGTTGCTTTAACAGGTATTACCATATACATTTTTTTGCCTTCTTTACCATATTATAATAATAACCGTGGTAGCCAAAAGATGTTTTCCAAGCGCCCTGATAAATATACTACTGGGCTCATCAATTTGAGAAATGACTGCTTTGCCAATTCCTCGTTGCAGGCATATTCTTCATTACCTTTGCTTACAGAGTATCTCAATAATATCATTACAAGTTTTCAAAAACTATCCAAATTTATCAATCAACATCATTTGGATTTGGACCAATTGATCAAACTAAGACTAGAACACAACAAATCGTTACAAAACTCCAAATTTGGCTCGTCAAATTCCAAGTTTACCATTCCACTACACATTGCAATGGCATCAATGGTTCAAAAACTACAAGAAACTCAAATGACTTCGAAAACTATTAGCGTATGGACTTTTCTACACGAGTTGGAAAACATCTTTAAAGCGAAAATTTCAAAAAGCCAACATGATGCTCATGAGCTTACTCAGCTTATTAATGAAACTTTGGAAAATGAAAACTTGAAATTGAAAAGCTTTCGTAAATATATTTTGTTGAATTTACATCATATCGTACCAAAAGGTGTTCAGCCAACTCCACAGGATTATACTCAATTGGAGTCAATTCATATACCAGAATTCCCATTCGATGGGCTAATCTTGAATCAAATGACATGTCTTTCATGCCACGGAGTGTCAAAACCTAACTTCACACCATTCGTAATGTTGACCTTACCTACCCCTATGACTTCACAATGCGATTTGGAAACACTATTGCATGAAAATGAAAGCGAAGCAATCGAGGGTTATCAATGCCTTAAATGTCGTGTATCTAAGATTGTCGCAAATGAAAACCTTATTCTTCAAAGTCACCCAAGAAGAACATTTGCATCGCCTGAAGAGGAGGATTTTATTCGTCAAGTGTTCAAGCTACATGAATACCCCGATCTTTACATCAATGAAGATGTGTCTTTGCCTTTGGAAAAGTTTATTAAAAACTATAACGTGAATGGAGTAGACATTGCTAAAGTTACATCAACAGTTTTCAAAAAATCACATATTTTGAAACCACCAAAGATATTTGGACTTCATTTGTCGAGGTCCTCGTTTGATGGTCAAAATGTTACGCGGAATTCATGTCGTGTTAAATTTAAAGATACAATGACACTATCTATAGGTAAGGAATATCATGATAAATTGAAAAATTTCCAATCATATGTTCAAGATGAGGAAGCTCGATTGCTTGAAAAATTAACATCAAAGGTGTTAACCACGGATGAAAATGATATGGAAGATGAAGATGTGCAAAGAGAGGATTTTGAAGAAAAAGGAAATGAAGATGATGATGATGAGGAGGAGGAGGATGATGAAGGTGAAGAAAATGGGAGCGATTTGACTGATACTGGAAATGAAACAGGAGTTGAGGATGTAACTGATTTTACCGGGGATGATGATGATGATGATGATGATGATGAGAATGATCTCTCATCTGTTCCTACTAACGAGTCCGCTCCACAAACTATAACCACCTCTACAACAGTCAGGCCTAATGAACTGGAAGTTACATCTTTTGAACCACCACTTTCTTCTTCTACACATGCATTACCTATAACTGACCAGCAAACAGAAAATTTGAAGAAACATTTCAAGAAATTTAAATTTAATGAAAATGACGTTTACAAATATAGATTACGTGCTATGATAAAACATTTTGGTTCTCATACTCAAGGCCATTATGAGTGTTTCAAACACAAGCCATTATACGTCAAAAACAAAGATGGTAATATTTTCAAGTTGTCGCCTGAAATTATGGATTTATCAGGAGATATTCACTGCGATGTTAGTCCTGTGGGATCATTAGAATCTAAGGAAGAAGGCCAAAAGAATAGAAAACTTTCATTACGCTCATTAAACAACGGAACATCGGAAGATGAAGGATTACGTCATAAATTCTCCAACTTAATGGGCCGTCGACCTTCGGTCATTCAAGCTAACCCAACAAATGTTGAAGAGATTTTACAATCTGGATTGCAAACACCTGCTGAGATTTTAATTGACGATCCAATGAAGGCGCATAACAATTTTGATCATGCTTTTGCTCAAGCACAGTTCAAAAACCCATTCCAAATCAAACAGCAGCAGCAGCAGAAGCAGCAGCAACAGCAGCAGAAGCAACAGAAGCAGCAACAACAACAACAACAACAACAACAACAACAACAACATGATCAACAGCAGCAGCAGCAGCAAACACCAAATGGCTTTCACGGTGATCAATATACAAGTGGACCTGAAAAAAAGGTCAAGATGAAAAAAATCAATTCACTAATTAAATTTCCATACTGGAGAATTAGTGATGCTCAAGTAAATGAAGTGTCCCTTGCAAGCGTCTTGGCAGAAGAAACTACGGTATACATGCTATACTATGAAAGAGTTGATAGGAAACAAATAAAGAAAAGCCATCGTGCTCATTAAAGTTAGATGTTTTAGATTGAAAAGAATTATATTTATTGATAAACCTCCATGGCCTTTAAATTCCAAGGCTTTATCACAGGCAACTAGTGAAACTTGAAACTTGCCGTGACCAAAATACTCCTTGTTTTAAACTGGTTTTAGACCCTCTTACCCCTATACTTGTCTCTCAAGCCTTAGTCTTAGTCTAATGACATGCACCTATATATTATTGATGACATGGTAGCGCTTTGATATAGTTTATAAAAGGTGACGATGGGAACCAAGCAAGATGAAGTTGGCCAATATTGTAAGAAACCAACGTTTTCTTTCAGTTGTTGGCCCTGTAGATGACTCGACTAGACGATTCCAAGGACCGGCAAAACCCCAAAGATAAAGACGAGGATCTGCAAGCGAGTTGGGATGCAACTCCTCGTTCGAGGCCACCGCAAAGTCCCTTGCCGCGACCGTTATCACAATCACAATGGACATTAAGACCACCGAAACTTCCATTTCTCAATGCAGTGCCGCGTATATCATCGTCTTCTCTGCCTGCGGCAATTTCTGCCCCTACAGTTCGAGACATATTGCGTCAAAAGGTTGTTTTGAAGCCAAATCATTCCCCTTTAGATTGGGCCAAAATAAATCGTAAAGAAGCAAAGAACGTATTACGAGGTGTTGGTGACAATTTCCCGCCACCTCAATGTGTCAAGATCTCCAAAGCTGAGCTACAAAAGCATACATCCAAACGGGACTGTTGGACATGTATAAATGGTAAAGTATTCAATATTACACCATATTTGAATTACCATCCGGGTGGAGTTGATGAGATTATGAAATGTGCTGGTAGAGATGGAACCTCATTGTTTAATAAATACCACAGGTGGGTTAATGTGGATCGATTGTTGGAGAATTGTTTGATTGGTTCTTATGTTGATTAACAAGCACGATCTCCACTATCGAGCAGAGCAGGATAGTGGAGCAGCACTGACTACTGACACCATCGAACAACACCATCGAACAATACTATCGAACAACACCATCGAACAATACTGTCGAACAACACCATCGAACAATACTGTCGAACAACACTATCGAACAACACCATCGAACAATACTGTCGAACAACACTATCGAACAACACCATCGAACAATACTGTCGAACAACACTATCGAACAACACCATCGAACAATACTGTCGAACAACACTATCGAACAACACCATCGAACAATACTGTCGAACAACACTATCGAACAACACCATCGAACAATACTATCGAACAACACCATCGAACAACACCATCGAACAATACTATCGAACAACACTATCTCGCTCTGCTCGATAGTGCTGTGACAGGCTAGTTAGTGTTAGTGTTGAACAGGCTTTCAAGTGTTGAGCACACTTGCTAGGTATTAGCTTCTATCAATGCTTGTACTATAATTTGTTTCTATGAATGTGTAGTGTTGATCGCTCTGCTCAATAGTGGAGTAACACTTTGTAGGCACCATCAAGCAGAGCGAGATAGTCTCAGTGGCAGCTAGTCTGTGTTGCTTCACTATCGACACTATCGACACTATCGAGCAGAGCGAGATGGTGGATCAACACTCTGTAGCTAGCAACACTCTGTAGCTAGCAACATTCTGTAGCTTGTTACAACACTATCTTGCTCTGCTCGATAGTGGTGATAGTGTCGATAGTGGAGCAACACTCTGTAGCTTGTTACAACACTATCTCGCTCTGCTCGATAGTGGTGATAGTGTTGTCGCCGAGAAAACTCTAGTACCAGTAACAACTTTATCCAACTTGTAATCGTGGACTTCGGTTGGTATTTCTCCCTCCGAGACAATCTGTTCGTCTAATGAAAGTCCAATTAGGTACGGTAATCTTGACCATTTCTTGTAAAATGTAGATAAAAACTCATCGTAGAATCCAGCACCATGGCCCAATCTCTCGAGATTTGCATTAAAAGCGACACCAGGGATGAGCATCAAATCCAATTCACCGGTATCTAAAGCGTCTTCTCCTTCAACTGGTTCTAGTAAATGGTATTTCCCCTGTGGAGTGAGGTTGGCAACATCTTGTAACATAGGAACATGTAGCATCGACAAGTAGTTCTTCTTACGATTGGGTACTTGAACCATATTACACCTGGGCAAATAGACTTTTTTGCCAACTTCATAACATTTGGCAATCACGGGCATTGTCTTCACCTCCAGATCCGGCATGTTCATAAACACAGCTACATTTTGAGCATCTTGAAAAATAGGTAACTGCAAAAGATTTGCAAGGATTAGTTGTGATTGAGCAAAGAGCGAGTCTTGAGATACCGTTTGCAATCTCGATTGCACTCGACTTCGTAGTTGCTTTTTGGCCAACTTGATACCAGTAGACGACAGCATTCCAAAAGCGACCCACGAATTGATATCTACTCTGAATAAAGAATGTTACTCGTACAACAATATGGGGTTCAATTTCTTTCGCAGTTTTCAATAAAGAAGTTATTTTTTGATGATGATGATGATGATGATGATCAAATTTACACAACCACCACCGCCATATACACATTATCGAAAGGATATACAACTACTTACAATTCGTCTTCCTTCTCAAACTCCTCTAGTTCTCTCACTCTTACACCTGGTCCAAATCTCTCTTGTAATGGCTTGGTGATAATGCCTAGTGGCCCTTGATCGTAAAGAATCTCGCTCCATCGCTTGATGAGATCATGATACCATCGATCAAACCTCTTGGTAGAAATGCTTGTCAGACTTCGAGCATACAGTTTCAATTCCAGTTTCAACTCATTGCATCTCCTAACTTCCTCGGGTTTCTTGATCTTCGTATACATAGCAATTAGATTATTCAACACATTTTCTAACATCGAGGTCACTTGAGGCGAAGCGGCATTATCGTAAAATAACTCCTTAAGTACCTCCTCTGACCAACTGATGGCGTTTTGTTTATATCCCTGAGACCACAAAATTTCACTAATATGAGCTTTCAAAGCACATATTTGAGTAATCAAGTTTTCGCGATCAACGTTGAAAAGGGGGTAATTTGACTGATTCTTGGTTCTAGTTTCCAAGCTTTCTCGAATATTGGTCAATGTTTGTAGATTGGATAAGTATATTGCCAATGCTTCCTCGAGGTACTTTTGTTTTTCAAATCTCAGTATCAGCATCAGTTTCAGTTTCAGTTTCAGTTCCAGTTTCAGTTGGTAAGTTTGCTGTGAACTCGACGAGAGCTTGGCATATTGAAAAGCTAAATCATTCAAACAGGCAAGCAACTCATCGGAGATTTTACTGCCCTTCACTAACGTATAGTCGTCATTCAACCGTATTGAGGAATAAGTTTGTTTCAACATATCGATAGATTTCTTCAACAATGCAATTCTATCTTGCGGATCAGAATAAACAAAAGCTAGGAGACGACTGCATTCGGATAATCTCTCAGCATCACCCAACTTGTAGTAAATCAAATCGTTGTCAATAACCTTGCTCAAAGTATCAAGTGACGCTTGAACTTCTCCCTTGACTAAAAGCGCTTTGCTGTACCTCAATATCAAATCAATATAAAAATTGGCAAATTTATTCGACTTTTGGTAGATTAATACCTCGGGATCGATAAGGGGGATTTCGTATCCAGGGTATTTCAGCTCATCTAAATTAGCATCACTGGCCTTGGCCAAGTTTATTAGCACTTTGCGGTAATGCTTTACCGCATATGTCGGCTTTTGTAAAACATCGTCCTTGTTAATTGCTTGTACTGTATCTATTTGATCCTGAAAGCTTAATTCAAAGGGGATCCTTTGTCGTTCATTTGCATCGTGATATATCAAATAAAAAGACCCTAGTGATACTATCAACCCGCCAATATAAGCACCAGCTAACACATTGACAATAGTTCCATACTTACTTAGCCTTGAAACTGTACTAGCTGAAATTTTGATACCTCGCATATGCTGTAGCGGACGATTAAGCCTTGAAAAGCCCCCAAATAACCTGACATTACCTACAACTCGTGATCGAAACATTGTCTTACTCGCAAATCGGTATAAATAGCCACGTCCTTACGTTCCTACGTCCTTACGTCCCGCCAGACCTATCTACCAAAACAAGTCTGTCTTCCTCGGCGGCTAATTTTTTTTCCTTTAATTTTTATTGAAGCTCATCTCGAAGCTCATCTCGAGAGATAGTGAAGCTATTGCTTGAGGTAAAGAAGCTATTGCTTGAGAGAAGCTATTCCTCGAGAGAAGCTATTGCTTGAAGGAAACGGGATTAGAGGTTTATATACTAGAGCCCATTGCTAATCTCATCATGATATGAATACCGTTAACGAGAATAGTTCAGCAGATGATCCTGCTTCTAAACTGAGTGTGTCTTTGGATCAATCATATACACTGCGGCATTCTGGTGAAATATCTCATCGATATCATGGCCTGTCGTTAGCACGCCAAACTATATATGAAGATGATGACACCTTTGAAAATGCACCTAAATTATCGTTTATACACAGATTTGTCACCAACTGGCTAATAATGGATCCGGTTTTACTCAGCAAATACGAGAACCGCGAGAAGAAGTTCAATAGGAATTATAAAGTTGCTCGGCATCGCGATATTTCGAGATTCATATACTTCTTGGACGGGAGGTTACACACTACTAAGGACAAGCCCATCAATTTATTGACCTTGCTACTTATTGTTATCCCTATTGTGATTTACTGCATATTTGAAGCTAGTTGGCAATGGCACAATATTTCACCTGGTATAGTCATAATCTTTGTTTATTTATGGTTCATCACAATAATGAATTTCTTTAAAGCGTCAACTTTGGATCCGGGGATTCTTCCAAGGAATTTACATATACCCAAGTCGCCCCAAGGTAACAGAATTGTAGATCCGCCTGAGGAATACTTCAATACTGTGACCCTACCTGGATACGGAAACGGAAACGGAACAAGGGCCATACGACAACATGGCGTACAAGTCAAATACTGTCAAACTTGCCACATTTGGAGACCAGCAAGAACCAGTCATTGTAGCAAATGTCAAGTGTGTATTTTAAACCATGACCATCATTGTGTCTTTTTAAACAATTGTGTTGGAGAGAGGAATTACATTTACTTTTTATGGTTCTTATTACTTGTATGTATTTGTTGCTGGTACTTGATCATTGTTTCAATTGTCCAGTTGTGCTACTACAGGATTGGCAAAGTCGATGAAATTAACAATTGGTATGAATCAATACGACATTTTCCATTGAGTTTATTTTTAACGATTTACACCATTTTAGCCATGATTTATCCAATTCTATTGGTGATCTTCCACATATTCCTAACCTCGCAGAATTTGACCACTAGAGAATATCTAAACCATATATATAAAAGGAGAAACGCTGATTTTGTTAATGTGTTTGATACACACTCGGTTTTGAAAAATTTATATATAAATTGGATCGGCAAGTCTACCGGAACGGATTTGGTTCGCATAAGAGATAAGTACCGAAGCGGTGATATTCGATTCGAGGCTATTGAACCATTACTCTACGACACTATCGAGCAGAGTGAGATAGTGGAGCAACACTAACCGACACTGACCGCCACTATCGAGCAGAGCGAGATAGTGGAGCAACACTGACTATACCAACATTAGCAACACTGTTTATGGACTAGATATGAGGCCGTTAATACTACATACAGCTCCACTAGCTCGCTTAGCTCGCTAGTGATCAGGGCTCATCAGGTTCTGGTCAAGGTGTTTATGGGCTTAGTGTTGCAATTGGTAGCGTAAATCTATGAATTTTGCAATTTTTGCAATAAAACCACAAAACGTTTTGCTTTCTTAACCAACAAAGTCATCTTGACAAGAGGTGTACAGGCCCTACTCTTTACTTTAAAGTTGTTCTCGTAGACGTATACCCTCATGATTTGCATATAATACTTTAGTTATTAGAAATTTTGCATACGGTAATGGTACAACGACTAAGCGGTGGAGTTCGACGACTATCTTTTCCATCGCAGAATGAAAAACAAAAAGAAGAAGAAGAAGAAGATAATGTGCCACTTGACAATAAAGAAGAGGAGAGAGGAGCCCCAACTGACAATCTTCAAGAAGACAATCTTTTATTCACATCGCTAGAGCAATACAGACTTAGTCCTAGACAGTCTTCATCGCAGGTACATCTTTCTCATGATGATAATAATAACAATAACTCAATATATTCCCCGCTGAGTGTATCGGTAGATCATCTTGGTATTTCCAATTCAAACGCCATTGGTTATCGTGATCGTGATCGTAATCGTGATTTACTGTCGCAATCTTATAGTAGTTCCAGAACGGCGACTACTTTGTCGAATGAAACCCATCTGTCGCACGGCAGGTCACCATTGGATAGAGCAATGACTATATATACCACAGCTATATCGCGACCTTCAACGAGAAAAACCACCACTATTCTCAATATTCCACATCGTTTATTGAAATGGGTATATTCAATATCGCTATTTATTGTGATTATTTTGATGTTGGCGTTTATTGCAGTTACGCCACTAGATGTCATTGTACAAACATTCAACTCGAGCAATTCTACTGCAGTCAAGACTTTTATAGTGATTGCAGTTTGCGTTGCGTTTTTGATAATCTCAATAATCATTTACCTTGCACGAGTGTACAAATTCAAAGTCACGATGAATGATGTCCCTCAAAAATCGCTTTATATCCCTTTTGAGAATGACTTCCCAAAGAGCGTGTTTAAGTATATTGATTTGAAATTGAAGTATAGTCACGATGTTTCAATATTGGCAGGTCCGTTACGTCAGAATTACATTATTAATCATCCTGGGTTATCGCCACCTGAGTATGTTCAAAAACGAAATGTGGACAACAATGGAGGTATGCTGGGGAGGTTGCTACCTCCAAACATGCAATATGATGATGTTTTGCAAAGTTTTGCTGATAAGTTCTACATTGGTAAGATTTTAACTGATGAAGATCTTCCAACTCATTTCTCCATCAGGGATATTTTCCTATACTTATCTGAACGACTAATTGAACCGCGTAGGAGAATGGGCAATGGCATATTAAGCAAAAATGAACCAGATGTAGAGAAATTGATAGCCATTTATGAGAAGTGTCGATTCGGGTCAAAATTAATTGAAGAGATGGATTTATTCCAACTAATGATCGAATTTGATAAGTTTGGCTTATTGTGTCATAATGACTATCGGTCAACTATGCCAAAGAAGAGGAGATTTTCAAGAATATTTCAATCATCAGGAAATGACTATAATATCAATGAAGATGGTTACATTTCAACTAGTGACTTGAAATATTACAGTAGTCCCATGTTTTATGATTCCGAAGAGGAGGATCAGTCAGAGGAAGAGGATGAAAAATACAATAGCAATTATCGCGACGAAAATGAAGATGAGGAACGGTTTGATTCGGAAATGTCGACTACCGAGTCGGAAGAACTTGGAACTAATCAAGTAGAACCATTGGTACTGAAAAGTGAAAATGAGCTTGACCATAAACAAGAAGGAGATCGATATTATTCAGATATAGAACGAAGTTCTTTACCAGATGCAGACCGAAGGTCATCTCTAAGGTTGAGAAAACAAACAAGTATCAGTAGTTCGAAATCTGTGATACGGAATAAATTAGCATTACAAAGTAGACACACTTTGCTGAGTTTACGATATGACGACGGGGATGACGATAACAATTCATTAGTGAGGAACAGATCGGGATATATAACAGATTTAGAGAATGATGAATTTGAGGCGGAAGAGCTGAAAAGGTTCAACTTTAGTAGCGACAAAAGACGCAAGCATCAGCGGGAATTATTCAATTCTGAAAATAAAGAGATTCAAATAGTGATAAATGATGGTATGGAGGACCTAAATAAAAGAGAGAAATCGGATGGTGAGGAAGAAAAAGAAGAAGACGATGATGATGATGATATGAATTTCTACCAGTTTAGAAGACGACGGAACAATTCATCTTTACAAGAAAACCCCGGACAGCCTATTACGCCCAATCAATCCAACGAAGAACAATCTCCAACTGTGACCGACACTAATGACACTATCGACACTATCGAGCGAAGCGAGATAGTGGAGCAGCACTAACTACTGACACTATCGACACTATCGACACTGTCGACACTGTCGACACTATCGAGCAAAGCGAGATAGTGGAGCAGCTCTGACTAATGACACTATCGACACTATCGACACTATCGACACTATCGACACTGTCGACACTATCGAGCAAAGCGAGATAGTGGAGCAGCTCTGACTAATGACACTATCGACACTATCGACACTATCGAGCAAAACGAGAAAGTGGAGCAGTACTGACTAATGACACTATCGAGCAGAGCGAGATAATGTTGTAACAAGCTACTAAGTGTTGCTCCACTATCTCGCTTCGCTCAATAGTAGAGCTCCCTTTGCTCGATAGTGTCGCTTCGCTCATTGACACTTTGATATAATAGGATTGATACGTAATAATACACATGAGAAAATCCGTATCTACTTTTCTACATTCAAAACCTCATCTATGTATACCTAGTCTGTTATCTCGGTATTCAGTAACACTAGCAACCCTATCGAGCGAAGCGAGAGTGGACTACACCGACACTAGCATCACTATCGAGCGGAGCACTGACTACATCGATGGTGTCGCTTTGGTCGATAGTGGACTACACCAACACTATCAACACTATCAAGCGAAGCGAGATAGTAGACTACACCAACACTAGCATCACTATCTCGCTTAGCTCGATGGTGTCGCTTAGCTCGATGGTGTCGCTTAGCTCGTTAGTGTCGCTTGATAATATCACGTGACCCATCCAGCAAGTGACAAAACTAAAAAGTTTTTCCGGGGCGTTAAAAATAAATAAATAAAAAAGGGAAAAACTAACCAAGTAGTACAAATCACAGTTTAGATCAACTGGGGTTAAGAAAGACAAGTAAGTTTCCTTGTTAGAGTACGTCGTAGGTGAAGAAGAAGTATTGGAAAGCCGTTTTTTACTTTTCTGTCCCGGTCATTTTTGTACCAAGTAAGCGAAAAGGGCAAGCGAAAAGGATAAAGCGAAAAGGACAAGGGAAAAATAGTCCGAAAAATCATCCAATCCCGACCAATCCCCCCCTAACGGGCCAGCGTCAACTTTCTCATTAAACCTCATCTTTCTCATCCTTTCTTTTTCAAATAGTAGCATTTCACATATTTATTTCACAAATAACTCGAAAATGTCTTCGTCTCCTTCCACTTCCTCCTCGCTCATTCCCGAATCCTACCTTGTCTTTTTTGACTTCCTCCCCCCTTTGCATCGTTTAGTCAATATATTTATAACGTTTACTCCACTATTCAGTTATGGTTCTACTTGTCTCTCCATATATCGGAAACAAACCTCACAGGGATTTAGTATAGACATATGTGGCACCATGTTTCTAGCGCTGATTCTACGCATATATTATTATCTATGTTCACCATATGAAATTACACTATTGAGACAGTCGATAGTTATGATTGGTATACAAAGTTTACTATTGAAAACCAGTTTGAAATATAGAAGCAAAGCATACGATCCCGAGCTATTACCACCCATGCCTTCAATCAAACAGGAAGTAAGCAGAAATTTACCAAGACGAATGAGTTCATCATTTTGTATTACTGAACATTATGACTATTCTCGTCATGGAAGTGAAGGAACTAATAGTAGCGGTGGGTATTTGATGGTGTATGACTGGTTCGTCTGGTGTAAATGCTATCTCATAGTGCTCATCAAACAGGCAATGCGATTTTTCGATGTTCATTATCGTCGGCCAGGATTGTTCTGGCAATGGAGGAATGAATCATCTTATTGGAAATTTCTTGGTGTGTTTACTGTGGCAGTTGGTTTCCTAACTGCTATATTTAACAGGATGACAACAACAACAACAACAACAACAACAACAACAACAACAGCATCAGCATCAGTATCAGTATCAGCACTGACGTATGCTAACACTTTAGGCATCTTGGGGTTGTTCATTGAAAGTCTACTCCCACTACCGCAAATACTAATGTTAAGCAGATTACAGCTGGTTGAAAATTTTAAAGTTATATTACTATTATCTTGGTTAGGTGGAGACTGCACCAAGATATCTTACTTATTATATGGCACAAACGATATTTCTCCAATTTTTATTTGTGCTGGATTATTCCAAATGCTGTTGGATATATATATTGCTTTTCAATTTGTAACATTAAAGTACTTTTACGAGACATGGTGGGGTCATGGAAAAAGCGGGCTGCAGCTGCAGCTGCTTGGTGGTGGCAGTGACGGTGTAGCATTAGAAAATAGCAATATCGTCAACAATGACGATTTTGTCAACACATTGTTTTTTAATTCAACATTGAATGATATAGAAATGAATGTTTTAAATGGTAAAGAGTTTGATAGAGAGGATTTCAAATCTGATTCATCATTAAGTTCGTATTAATATATATATAGAGAATATAAAAATATACATATAGAGGAAATTTGGGATGGAGCAAGCAGAAAGGACTACTCTGGCTAGATTTATGTACAAGGCAAAGTCATCATCACTTCAAATTTCCCCAATACACATACGCACATACACATATACATTACACAATCACTGAACAGGATGATATTCAACATTTTCTTTAGCTTGATTGATCAAATAAAGTGCTTCTTCGCCAACTAAGGCATGTTTAATTTTGATATGTCTAGAAAGGGCATCGCCTCTAGAAAAAGTCTTTTCTTTTCCATTACCAGTACCACCTTGATACCGACCTTCACATATAACACACCTGAAAATCTTCTTCAACGATGCATGTATAGTATTTTGATGACGGATCAAATCGTAAGGTCTTGAAAATTGCTTGTTGCATAATTCACCTGTTGATGGATTGATCAAGTCACATTTATGATCAGGATTATTTGCTGTGATTTCGGCACCTAATTTGTAAATATTCTTCTCTTTCAATTCAATAGTACAAGAAGGTCTTGCTGTGGTAGTAGTGGTCATGATATTCGTCTTGGTCGTCGTTGTTGTCTTCGTCTTCGTCATATGTGTGGAGTTGATGTTTGTGGTGGTTTTTGCTGCTGCTGCTGCTGCTGCTGCTGCTGCTGCTGTTGGTTGTAATGGTATTAATGGTTTAGCATCTCCCACCACAACATCACCATCAAGGATCATTGCATCTGCATCATCATTTGCAGCATTTTGTTTGATTATGGGTTCATTTTCAATGCAATTGTTGTCATCTTCACTTGGTTGTGCTATTGGAGAAATAATAGAAGCTGGTGATACTGCATCGTGAAGGATTCTATCCCGCTGTTCATCTCTTTGCTCTTCTTCTTGCTCTTCTTCGCCTCCTATTTCCCCCTCTTTTTCCTGTTGGCAATCCTTAGCTTCGTCTCTTAATTCCTTTAATGCGTCAGGGAAACTGTCCAGTTGTTGTTGTTGTTGCTCTTGGTTGCGATGGTGGTTATCTTGAGAATCTTCAAGTGGGATACTCTTACACTCATCAAATGTGGAATAATCAGTCACAGTATAAGGACCACCCATATTGTTACTAGTGTAGTAGCCACTATTACTCATAACATAATCATCAAATTCCTCATCAACATGGAAATAGTTGTCATCTTCATCATCTGACAAATCTTCTTCAATTTCTTCTAAATTGTCATCCAAGTACAAGTAGTCGTTTTCGTAACCAGGTATCACATTGTTGTTGCTGTTGTTGCTGTTGTTGCTGTTGACAGACAGGGTCTGCTCTGGTACAGTGATGTTATCATGAATGTTCTGGTTTGTTGGTGGTACATAAAATGAAGACTCCAAGTCTGTTTGACTGATAATGTGACCGGGTGATATGTCGGGGTTGTATAAGAAATAATCGTCGCTCTTCTTTTTAGATCCAGTATGTGGGCCAATATCATCTATTGTGGTTATTCTTCTTCTTCTTCTCTGTGGAAATGCTTGTGGTAACGGAGGTGGAGGTACTTGGTATTGTTGTAGTTGTTGTTGTTGTTGTTGCTGCTGCTGCTGCTGCTGCTGTGACAATAATGTTTTTGGCCCCAGTATTAATGGCTGGGTTTTTATAAAAGTATTTGGATTGCCGTAATTTGTAAATGGATTTATATATGCTAATTGTTGGTTATCAAATTGATATGAGTATTCTGGGTATTCATTGTTATTATTGCTCTGTTGTTGTTGTTGTTGTTGTTGTTGTTGTTGCTGCTGCTGCTGCTGCTGCTGTTGCTGTGATTTCAAGTGGTCGATATATTCTTGCGATTTCAACTGATCTATAAAAGAATCGGGAATATTCAACACATTCCCTAGATTCTGGCTTGAATTGTTATTCACGCTGTTACTGTATAATGGGCCATTGTTGTTCAATTGTGTATATGGCAAAGTTGGTGAGGATGTGACTGAGTTTTTATTGGATGCGTGGCTATAGCTTCGGCTATGGTTGTTGCTGCCGCCATTACTAATGAAATGGTTGTAGTTGCTATTGTTGTAGGTGATGTTTAGGTTAAAATTGTCATTTACGCTATTGCCGGCGTTTGCACTCATATTGAAACTCATAATAGGAGACGAGGGTATATGATACAATTCCTCGTCTATTATATCAGTCACGGTTCTCTTCAACTGTGGTAATACTGCCAACGAAGTCATTACTGAGTCTCGCTTTACTTGTGCTTAGCTATGGTTGTGTCTGGCTTTTAGTTGTGTCTCGCTTTTAGTTTGGTCTCGTTGTATCAGTATCCAGTGTCTATATCCCTCACCTATTGCACCTGTCTCCTTCGTGTGCTCAATAGATGAAAAGAAAAAGTGATATGTATTTGGCTGCCACTTTTTTTTTTTCTTTGTTTGATTTAAGGAAACTGCCTATTGTTATATACCTCACTAAAGAGTAACAAAAGGTAAGTCTATGTTGTATTACTAAGTAACTATGTATGTGAGTGAGAGTGTGAGAGTGTGAGAGTGTGAGAGAGAGAAAGAGAGAGAGAGGGGGGGGGTAGTGTAAGTTGTCACAATATTCTATAGGGTTCTATTACCACTATACAATATAATTATTGTGGGTAGCAGCTACAAAGTATTGTTTGATAGTGTTATACGGATATATGATTTTTTCTGTTGGAATTTTGAAATTGTCATGGTCGGCAAAAGTTAAAGTGGCTTTCATTAGTCACTTGAATTACTCTAGTGTGCATTGAGTCATTCATTTCGTCATTACGCAATTGATAATTTCACTTTAAAGTTTCTTTTTTTTCGCTCTGCCTGAAAACACTATCGAGCAGAGCGAGATAGTGTCTCTCGCCCTAAAACACTATCGAGCAGAGCGAGATAGTGTCTCTCGCCCTAAAACACTATCGAGCAGAGCGAGATAGTGTCGGTGGCAGCTAGTCAGTGTTGCTCGATAATGGAACAGCACTTTGTAACTTGTTGCAGCACTGACTAGCTTGTTGCAGCACTGACTAGCTTGTTGCAGCACTGACTAGCTTGTTGCNCACTATCTCGCTCTGCTCGATAGTGTCTGCTCGATAGTGTCTGCTCGATAGTGTCTGCTCGATAGTGTCTGCTTGATAGTGTCTGCTCGACAGTGTCTTGTAAATTTGGGACAAAGAAAAAAGTGTGCTGGTGGGGTTTTGGTTGCCTATACGACAACAAATATACTACTATACTACTATAAGAATAGCACTAGACAACCACAAATAAGTGTCCTCAACTCTCAATTCAACTCTCGATTTTATAATACTATCGAGCAGAACACTATCGAGAACACTATCGAGGAGAGCAAAATACTGGAGTAACAAGCTAGTCTGTGATACTATCGAGCAGAGCAAAATACTGGAGTAACAAGCTAGTCTGTGACACTATCGAGCAGAGCAAAATACTGGAGTTATACTCAGCAGCTTGTTACAACACTCAATAGCTTACAACACTCGGTAGTTTGTTACAACACTCGGTAGTTTGTTACAACACTCGGTAGCTTGTTGCAACACTATCTCGCTCTGCTCGATAGTACTAGCTTGTTACGCTCTACTCGATAGTCATCTTTTTCCCCTCTCTCTTCACCCCTTTTATTTGCTCATAATTTAAAAGCTTTTTGGTGCCTCGTATAATAAATAGCCCGCATAAACGGATATTCTGCATTATCAAATATTCGGTTTAGTTTCCCAATTGCGTAATTTGCGGCGATAACAAAAAAAAAGAAATAACAAAAACTAATTCTTTTATGCGATGATGTTTATGTCATATGTCAAAAATAAAATACGCGACATAATCCACTGGACCAGAGCGAGATAGTGGAGCACACTAGCTGCCACCGACTATATCGACACTATCGAGATAGTGGAGAAGCAATCAGTAACTTGTTACAACATAACTAGCTGCCACTGACACTATCGAGCAGAGCGAGATAGTGTCTCGTGTCTACTCCTTTTCAACTTTATTTCTATTTTTATATAACTTGTTACAACACTGACTATCTTGTTACTCCACTATCGAGCAACACTGACTAGCTGCCACTGGCACTATCTGGCTCTGCTCGATAGTGGAACAACACTGACTAGCTGCCACTGACACTATCTGGCTCTACTCGATAGTGTCTCATGTCTACTCCTTTTCAATTTTATTTCTATCTTTTTTATAACTTGTTACAACACTGACTATCTTGTTACTCCACTATCGAGCAACACTGACTAGCTGCCACTGGCACTATCTGGCTCTGCTCGATAGTGGAACAACACTGACTAGCTGCCACTGACACTATCTGGCTCTACTCGATAGTGTCTCGTGTCTACTCCTTTTCAATTTTATTTCTATCTTTTTTATAACTTGTTACAATACTGACTATCTTGTTACTCAACTATCTCGCTCTGCTCGACAGTGTCTGCTCGGTAGTGTTATAGTGGACCCTTTGCTAATCCCTCATTCTTTACCTTTTCAATTCCCTCTTCTGCCTTTTCCTTATCCAAATAATAGTAAGGCTTGATCAAATCTCCATGGTCATCCATCTCAAACACTAATGGTACACCAGTAGGTACATTGATCTTGCTAATATCATCATCACTGACTTTATTCAAGTATTTGATCAAGCTTCGCACAACACTGCCATGCGTCACAATCAACACCGTTTTATTCAATTGTATCATTTGATTATCCAAAATCTCGTATTTGAAAAACGGTATTAGTCTATCCATGACCATTGCCAAACTTTCTCCTTTTGGTAAAATTTGCTTATTCAAAATATCGAGGTACTTTTCGTCAATGGAAGGATCTTTGAAATCTACCAATGGAGGTAATCCTCTAAAGTTTCTTCTAATATATTGGAATTTCTCCTTGTTCTGCCCCAACTCCATAAACACTTGATGTTTATCGCGACCCTGCAATTTTCCATAATGACGTTCGTTTAATCTCCATGTCTTGATATGATCGAGCCATGATCTATTTAATACTTTTAATATAATAAACCCAGTCTCAATCGATCTTTGAAGTTTCGAGGTATATAGTATATCGGGAGATAATCCGGCCCGTTGTATAAGTTCGCCTGCATATCGTGCCTCTTGTTTTCCCTTCTCGCTTAAGGGAATATCTATCCATCCACAAAATTTATTTTCATGATTCCATTGTGATTCTCCATGACGTAGGATAATTAATTTGAAAACACCGCCCATAACAAAAAATTAGGAAAAGTGAAAAACCACTTGCTCACGGGTTTGATATCGAATTTGATCAATAGCTGTCTTGAATGATCAATTGGGGTCAGGTGGAAGATTATATAATCGTTAGGGTTCTTCTTGATCATCTTATACTAATGCAATAAAATTACAAAATAAATTTTTTTCTTCTTTGAAATAGACGCGGAAATGTTTCGATCGAAGCGCAATATAGAAAACCGACAAGAGCCGACTAGAGGAGCCTACTAGAGGAGCCTACTAGAGGAGCCTACTAGAGGAGCCTACTAGAGGAGCCGAAGGCGACTCTAGTTGAAGGATGAATAGAACAGAACTTAGTGTTACTCCAAGCTCTTTTACTGCTCTATTACTCTGCTCTAATACTCTGCTCTATTACTCTAAGCTCTATCTATTTACTCTAATTGCTGCTCCACTATCGAGCAGAGTGAGATAGTGGAGTAACAAGATAGTCAGTGTTGCTCCACTATCAAGCAAAGCGAAAGACACTATTTAGTAGAGTGAATCAGTGTTGGTGGCAGCTAGTCAGTGTTGGTGGCAGCTAGTCAATGTTGCTCCACTATCTCGCTTTGCTCAATAGTGTCGCTAGTGTCGCCTTGCGTCTTACGCGGCTTTTAGGGGCTTTTGCGTCAGAATGTTACATCAAAAAGCAAATGTAACATTGAAATTAGTTTGCAAAACAAGAATGAGATACAATGAATGCAATGATATTGCAATGCATATAAGTTTGCTTGCTACCTTTTCACAGCGTATTAGAGCCATTTTGGCAGAACTAGACATACTTCATATCATACATTAATAAAGAACTATCGGGACTAAAAAGACATCAAATTGAAATGACACTGGGGTGGAAACTAAAAAAAAAGAAATAAAAAAGAACAATCAACAAAAGAACAACTAAAGACGTAGGTATGAATGAGGGCCCATCTTTTCTTTTCTTAATAAACTTGTGCAATTTCCCTATTTTCAATCTCTTTCTTTTCAATTCAAGAAAGGTCTATCTTCTTTTAGTTACTGTTGAGGGAACACGTTTTTCTTTGGCTATCAAAAAGAAACGATACTGGAAGAAGAAGAAGAAGAAGAAAAAAAAAAAGAAAACACCGAGAAAAGGGACAAGTTGAAAAATGACAATTATCTTTACTGATAGTAAGCCACCTATATCACCAGTAGCAACAACAGCTACTAGTAGTAGTAAACACGGGTTTGGTTCAAAACAACAGTTGGAAACACCTCCGGCATCGCCCAATATACCAGGTCAACTTTCACTAATCTATAAGAAGTTCAATATCCAAGTTGAGCAATCTTCATTAATGCCACAACCTTCAAAGATCAAACATGGTAAACCTTTTTCATGGTGCGATATTGAATACATAACAAACTCTAATCAGCTAGAGATATTTGCACGATCACAAGAGCAGACTCTGGAGTACCATAGCTTCAAGCAAATGCTCAAGGATCGAAATATTAGCATAAACGAATATATTTTAAAACATGAATTACAGTGGAATTCTGTCGATTTGAGGTGTCAGAAACAGGTTGTTCCTCAAGAATACTCCATTTCATATCCTCAAGATCTCATTTTTTTCAATAGGGACGATATAAAGATTCTTTTTAACAAATTCCCGTATTATTTCGACACTAATATAGTTCATTTATGTATTTGGTCGAAATTAAAGATTCCCAATGATGTCAATAGTCTTGTTGGTGATATTTCAAAACTCACGCGAAAGATTATCAATCGATATTTAGAAAAACTTTTTACAAAAAGAGGAATATCAATGGATCAAGTTAAATGGTTTAAGAATTGGACTAGTTTACAAAGTGTTAGATCCATTAGTCATATTCATGTGATTATAAGGGATGTGGATAGAGAAGTTGTCCTTGAATTGGTTAGTAATGAGGAGATGGATACTCTAGATTTGGAAGATTATAAGCAATTGCTAGAGGAGCCGGAGACTAGAGGAGCCGAACACTAGAGGAGCCGAACACTAGAGGAGCCGAACACTAGAGGAGCCGAACACTAGAGGAGCCGAACACTAGAGGAGCCGAACACTAGAGGAGCCGAACACTAGAGGAGCCGAAGGCGACTCCAGTCGAAGCATAATAGATAGAGATAGAGCAGCCGAAGACTAGAGGAGCCAAAGGCGACTCTAGTCGAAGCATAATAGATAGAACAGAACTTGGAGTAAATAGATAGAGACTAGAGGAGCCAAAGGCGACTCTAGTCGAAGCATATTAAATAGAACAGAACTTGGAGTAAATAGAACAGAACTTAAAGTATATAGATAGAGCAGAGTAACAGAGCTTGGAGTAACAGAGCTTGGACTAGCAGACCTTGGACTAGCAGAGCTTTGAGTAGCAGAGCTTGGACTAGCAGAGCTTTGAGTAGCAGAGCTTTGAGTAGCAGAGCTTTGAGTAGCAGAGCTTGGACTAGCAGAGCTTTGAGTTATACTCTCTTATATTAGTTCGCTTCGCTTACTATTAGAGCTTTGAGTTATACTCTCTTATATTAGTTCGCTTCGCTCACTATTAGAGCTTTGAGTAATTCTCTCTTACATTAGTTCCCTTCCCTCACTAATGTCACTCACTAATGTTAACATATGGTAGCATCTGCCATATTCCAGCAAGTACTGGTAGCTTCTGGTAGCTTCTTAATCTTCTTCTTGTTCTTTTTTTATTCTACGAGATTCGAATTGGTTCTATCAGGTGTAAATTTTTGCATAGTTTTGGTAGATGAAGATGTTACTCAAACACCCCCTCTCAATTTTGCCGAAAGTTAGCAGTTTCTGATAATGAAGAATTTTCTTGTATAAATTAGCAACCCAATTTCTCAATTTGTCTTTCTTTCCACTTTCTTTCCTTTCCTTTCCTTCTTCTCTTTTTCCTTAGTATATATATTCTTTACTTTTAAATTACTAAATATATATAAGAATATAATGTCAAAAGCTGTTGGTATTGATTTAGGTACGACCTATTCTTGTGTGGCACACTTTGCCAACGATAGAGTTGAGATCATTGCTAATGATCAAGGTAATAGAACTACTCCATCATTTGTCGCTTTCACAGATACTGAAAGATTGATTGGTGATGCAGCTAAGAACCAAGCTGCTATGAATCCAGCAAATACCGTGTTTGACGCAAAGAGATTAATTGGTAGAAAATTCAATGACTCTGAAGTGCAGAATGATGTCAAACATTTCCCATTCAAAGTTGTCGACAAGGGGGGCAAGCCAAACATCCAAGTTGAATATAAAGGTGAAACCAAGGTGTTTACACCAGAAGAAATCTCGTCAATGGTTTTAGGTAAGATGAAGGAAACTGCTGAAGGTTATTTGGGCACCAAGGTCAATGATGCTGTTGTTACCGTTCCAGCATATTTCAATGACTCTCAAAGACAAGCTACTAAAGATGCTGGTTTGA